TTCACATCCCTTCCAGGTCTTCTCCAAGTGTCGTCCCACAGCACAGCCTCTTGGGACTAACACAATGAGATTTGCATGCACACATTCGTGCATGGGCCTGTACACACACATCTACCTGGATCCTGACTCTGCTTTGTCTTTTCACCAGAGCACATTTTTCTTCTAAATTACATTGACCACTTTTTTGGTTTTTTTCTTGTATGTATCATGTTTTTGATGTCATATCAGAGAAATCTTTGCCTGACTGAAGATCGATCCAGACATTTTATAGTTTTTTTAGTACACGTTTTAGTATACACGTTTTAGTTTTTTAGTACACGTTTAGTATAGTTTTTTGCAGTACATAATGATTACACTCATCATGGGAAATTGCTACATGCACATGACACATGGCAATTCCTTTTACTTCTTCCCTCCTTTTCCTCCCTCCTTCCTCCACCTCTTGATCCCCTTTCTTTTTACAAAACATCTCTGTTTTCTATCATTTCTCTTTTATTTTTCTCTTTAATTTATTTATATTTTGAGTTTCACATAAAAGAGAAACCATGTGTTATTTAAGCTTGTGCGTCTGATTTATTTCACTTAACATTATAGTCTCAAGGTGCATCCATTTTCCTACACGTGACTCAAGTTTATCCTTCTTTATGTGACAGTAGTACTCTACTGTGTATACTACCCTTCTTTTATCCATTCATCTGTTGATGAATACAAAGGCCTCTTCCAAAGTTTAGCTATAAACATGGGTAGGCATGTATCACTGTGATAGAATGCCTTTAACTCTTTTAGGAAGATACCTAGAAGGAGAATCACAGTGTCAAATGAAATGTCTATTTGTAGTTTTTGAGGACTTTCCACAGTGATTGTATTAATTTACATTCCCACCAACAACGTGGAAGGGTTTCTTTTTCCCCCTAGTCTTTTCAGTGTTCATTATTTGATTTCTTGAGAGCCATTCTTTCAGGAGTAACATGGAATCTCAGTGTTGTTTTAATTTTCATTTCTCTAATGGTCAGAGATGTTGCACATTTTTTCATGTATTTATTGGCCCTTTGTACTTTTTCTTCTGAGAAGTGTTAATTCATTTCAGTTGCCCATTTTTTAATGAGTCTTCTATTGGGGGTGTCTAGTTTTTTTGTTGTTGTTCTTTGTATTTTCTAGGTACTAGTCCTCTATCCACGTTGTAGCTGGCAAGAAAAACTTTCCCATTCTGTAAGTTGTCTCTTAACTCTGTCACTTGTTCCCTTTGCTGTGCATAAGCTTAATTTGATATAATCCCATTTGTTAATTCTTAATGTTATTTCTCATACAACTGGAGTTCTGTTCGGACAATCCTTGCCTATGCCTATGTCTCCAAGAGTTTTACCTACTTTATCTGCCAGCAGATTGTTTCTATTTTAATATTCACATGTTTGGTCCATTTTGATTTTAGTTTTATACTTGGGTCAAGGATCTATTGTGATGAATTTCTGTGTAGGAATTGGGGTTCAGGGATAAATTTGTATTTATACAACTTGTGCTCTGAGCTGGGACCTGTGGTCTGATGCATCTCACCAGTTTGGGGAGTTTCTAGCCCATTGGCTCTGCACGATGGTCCCTGTCCTGTTTCTTCTGGCTCCTCTCCTGGCTCCTCCCCCTGCTCACTCCCTATCCTGACCCTGTCCCCCACAGTGGGTTGCCCGCTCTATGTTCTATTTGAGAAGTTTTCAGTTCACTGACATTTCCCCCTGTGTAGGGTTCCTAACAAGCTCTAAGACCACACTTGTCGCTGTTACTGAGTTTTCCATTTATAACACCTAAACGTTTCGTGGCTCATTGAGAGTCTCCACCCAACCTCACGCAGCTCATCTGCAGCCTACTGCATTCGTGGCTATTTTTATCACCAGCTGGCTGTGCATTGTCTCATACACTGGCCAGGTTCTGTTGAATGCTTTGTCTCCTAACAACATGCTGCTTCTGTTAACCCACAGGTCTTGTGAGTTCCAGGCTGGACTTTGGGCTTCCTGTTTAGGAAGCGGCAGAGAACTGACTGATACTCATGCCCAGCCCTGTGGCAGGTCCTTCTATCAGGGTGGCAGGGTGATGATCCACATGCTGCAGGCTGGATTCCCCCACCACCTGGCCTTGTGCTGGGATCAGGTGCTTGCTGGGGGATTTGTCTCTGTGTCTGTGCCCTGTCTTACAAGTCCCTCCACTCCTCCTCATCCTCCACAAACTTGACCCTCACAGGCACCCTTCCTCCTGAGAATCATGGGGCCATGGGAGGGCCATTACCCAAGAACCCAGCTGGACTTGCTCGTAGGTGTTTGGAGCCCACCCTACAGTCCCAGCACCTCCCCTGAGTTTGGCTCCTCTACCCCAGCCTCATCTTCAGTGGGCTCAGGAGAACTTGTGACCTTGCAGGCCACCCTGGTATCTCATACTAGAGGCTGTAATACCCTTCCCTCAATAGTTTCTGAGGTCCACTGACCTTGTTTCATTCTGCTTGTGTTTTAAATGGATATTGTGCTTTAATTTGCCTCTTTAAACAGTCTCAGCCTTTTTTTAAGTATTTTTTATTGTGGTTAAGATACACTGCATAATGTTTTTCATCCTGTCTGTGAGTGCAGGGTTGACGTGGCCTTGATGCTGTCCCCAGCACCACTGTCTGTATCCCCAAATTCCCATCATCCCCAACATGAACTCCATACTTTGGAAACAAACACATCCCTTCCCTCTCTCCTCCAGCCCCAGTAACTTCCCTTCTGATCTCCATCTCTATGAAGGTGCCCATGCCAGGGACCCCAAGTGAGAGGAACTGGGCAGTATTTGTGCTTTGGCGCCAGGTGATTTCCCTGAGCCTGAGGTGAGGAGGTGCATGTACCTTCATACCGCACAGTGAGCAGCAAAACTCTCGGAAGAAAACACTGGGGAAAATCATCATGACCTTGGGTTTGGCAAAGACTTCTTGAATGTGATACTGAAAGTAGAGGCAACCAAAGGAAAAAGATAAACTGGACTTCATCAGAATCAAGCTCTTCTGGTCCTCAAACCCCCCGCCCACACACCACGTGAGATGACCCCTGAACAAGTCACATCTCTCACCAGGGCTGAGCATCCTTATTTTAAGCCATGAAGTTTTTGTCAAATTGTTCTATAAGATTTGTCTTATCAATTGGAAATTCCTTTTCCAACCGTTTGTTCTGAGTTTTCCACCTGTTGATCCTTCACATTAGATTTCCATGCGTGTCTTACAGTTTTGGCCCACAGGCTCACTTTATGTGGAATATTCTTTGGCTCTGCTTTGTTCCCTCTTATTCTCCCTCTCTGATTCCATCACCCCCTTAGACTGCCATGGCACATTGGATTTTTCCAAATAGGATTGCACAGCAACACCCATCCCACCTGCTCATCTCACCACAAGACCTTACACTCATTTGGGAGGCAGCCTGCATTCTCTGCCTAGATTTGGGTGAGCCTGTGTCTGGGGAGGAGGTAAGGTGGGAGATCATTGAAGCTGAGTCATAAAGGGCGTGCGGCCACTACCTGGAGTCCTGTGCACATTATATAAGTGGAATCATAAAGTACATAAACCATTGAGATTGCCTTTTCACCCCAGTAGAGATTCTCCTGTGTTTTGTGCATCATGAGTCCCTTCCTTCTCCTTGCTGAGTGGTGTCCCATGGCAGGGACACTCAAGTTCACCTAACCAAGATGTGAAGGACATCTAGGCTGTTCCTGATTTGGGGACACTGCAGACACAGCAGCTGTGAGCACTGGTTTGCAGGTGTCTATGTGAACACGGCCCAGGTGCACTCTGGGTAACCCCAGAGTCTGTAATTGCTGGGTCACATGGCTATTGCACGTTTGGGTTTTTGTTGGTTTTGTTTTGTCTTTGTGGTGCTGGGGGTTGAGCCCAGGGCCTTTGCACTGACCTACATCTTAGCCCTTTTTTTGAGACTGGATCTCTCTAAGTCACTAAGTTGCCCAGGCTGGATGTAAACTTGCAATCCTCCTGCCTCATAGTGCTGGGAGCACAGCTATGCACCCTCATGCTTGACTTACACATTTACTTTTGTAGGACACTGCCAAACTGTCTTCAGAAGGACTGGGCCATTTCACATCCCCTATTCCAGCACTTTAATTCTGACGTCTGCCGGAGAGGGCAGTTCTGACACTGAGACTCAGGACAGAGCAGAAACCAGACAGTCACAGGTCCAAAGCAGAGGGACAATGGCAGGTCCACCGTGGTAGCTTGCCAGGCTTCTCTGAGGACCCCCAGCACACCAAGCCAGGAAGGTGGGTGCCCCTCTTTACCAAGGGCAGCGGGCAGCACCAGGCCCACCTGGGACTACCAGCTGGATGAAGCAGCAGTCACCCCAGAGCTCAGGCTGCTGCTGTGAGGGGGTTTCCCAGGCTGTCACAGGCTCCCTGCTGAGGCAGGCTCACGGACACAGCTCTGTTACACTTCTGCAGGTTACTGAAAAGCACTTCCTCTGGGGAACCCAGCCTTCAGGTCCCACCTCCTCCCCCAGCTTCTAGGTGGCGTCTCTCCTGCATACACTTACCCACTCTGACCCAGTGCTTTGGAGACAGAAGCCCAGCCCAGTGGAGGCTCCTGATGAAAAGTCCACCTCCCAGGATGCAGATTCTTCGCCCCAGGGCAGGCCAGCGCCCCTGGGGACACCACTTCTGGGCAGGGATGGACAGTGGGGCGGTGCTGAGCCCCTGGCCCTGCTCCTCCTGAGGCTGGACTCCAGGATCCCGCTGGACCCCAATCTGGGGCGGGGAGAGGCAGGGTCCAACTCCACCCCGGGACCAAGCGCAGCAGAGAAACGCTGTGCTCCGGACTCGGGCAAGGCCGCCCCGCCCGTGGGACCCCCGCGCCCCCACCCCGCGGGTCACGGGTGGCACGGGAGCTGGCTCCTGCTCCGCACGCCGGGGCCTCCCCAGCTCCGGATTGGACGCGAGAGGGCCGGGCGGGGCGCGCTAGTTGCAGACTCCGCCGGGACGCTGCACGGAAGCCGCGGGCAGCGCGGAGAAGTTGCCGCGATGTTCGACAGCTCGCAGTACCCCTACAACTGCTTCAACGACCACGACGACGACTACCCGGCCGGCAGCTCGGACGAGGAGAAGCGGCTCACGCGGCCCGCGTACAGGTGAGGACCGCGTCCGGCGGTGGGGCTTGGGGACAGAAGGGGCAGCAGGGAGAGGGGCTGGATTCGTTAGAGCGGGCTCCGGGAAAGCTCGGGAGTGGCGCACTTTGGGGACCCCCGGGTGCGGACGGTGCGCCCGCCCGTGTCCCGCGTGACCCCAGCGCGTGTCTGTCGCCGTCCTCAGCTACATCGCGCTCATCGCCATGGCCATCCAGCAGAGCCCCGCGGGCAGGGTGACACTGTCGGGCATCTACGACTTCATCATGCGCAAGTTCCCCTACTACCGCGCCAACCAGCGCGCCTGGCAGAACTCCATCCGCCACAACCTGTCGCTCAACAGCTGCTTCGTCAAGGTGAGACCCCACCCCCACCCGCTGCCCCGGCCCGGCCCGGGGTCAGCGGGGCGCCTCGTCCCTGGTGACCCTGGGACGCTTTCCCTGCGCGCGCGGGCCACTGTCACCCCGCCGCGCTGAGCAACCTGCCACCCCACTCCCCACCCCTGAGCAGGTGCCGCGGACCGAGGGCCACGACAAGGGCAAGGGCAACTACTGGACGTTCGCGGGCGGCTGCGAGTCGCTGCTCGACCTATTTGAGAACGGGAACTTCCGGCGTCGGCGACGGCGACGCGGCCCCCGGCGGGAAGGGACCAAGGCAGGACGCGCAGAAGGACCCCCGGGTCCCTCGGAGCCCGCCTTGGACCACGCCCCCTGCCGCCAACCCGTGGCACCACCCGCCGGCCCCGCGGCCCTGGGGAATGACAGCCGCGGGGAAATCAAGTTCAGCATCGACTACATCCTGTCTGCACCAGACCCCTTCCCCGGGTTCGCGTCACCCTGTCACGCGCAGGAGGGCAGAGGCCCTTCGCTGGAGCCCCAGCAAATGAGTCTCTGCTTTTGAGCAGTGTGAGCCCGGGCTGAGGCCAAAGCTGCAGAATCAGCCTGGGGTCCAGAACCTCCCCTGGAAGCAGACTTCAGCCCCCCTGGAACCAAGACGCTCCCGTATCCCTGTCTTCAGACTCCTTCCCAGTTGATACCCCAGGGTGAGGGGACCCAGGAGACTGTCTCGTAAGAGGTATTTACTGTGACACTGAAACCTTATTATGCATTCAGAGAAAGTTCCTTACAGGGTACCCACTTGGCTCCAGCCTGACTTCGGGGTTTGCTGTGGATTCGTGGAGCACCTCTCTGAGGAGTAAAACCAAGAAACTGTTCCCCAGAGTTGGGACGAATTTCCTTCCAGGTACTGTGAGATGTGGCTGCATGGACAGCCTGTCCCAAAGTTGTTGGTGTGCCCAGTAAGCAGCTAGCACCTTCTGGCTAGCACCTTCTGTATGCATAAAGCTAACAACAAACGTGAGACAAGCATTCATTGGTCCACGAAGAGCGGTTACTCCCAGGTTTAGGATGGGGTCCCTGTTTGTATGATGTGGTCTATGGGAAGAGATGAACCTATCCTGTGCATTGGCAGAATGTTTTCGGTAACAATTTTCAAAGTCCCTTGCAGTTTTTATACAGGAAAGAAGGAAGGGTGGGAAGGAGGGGCCCAAATTTGGAGGGACACTGGGGTAAAGTCTAGTCTTGGTGGTTCTGAAACGGGAGTAGGCTCCCATTCAGCCTGGGCTGTTTCTTGAACAAGCGGGTGCCCTAGCAGGCTGTTGCCAGCACTGCTATACAAAGGTGCAGGTTCGTGAGCAGCCAAAGTAAGTATACTCCATTTGAAATGTAAATGATTTAATTACTTCGTAGAGTGGAGCAGTTAGACGGGCAGTTTTAAAAACACAATTGCACACAGTGAAACTATTTGACCAACCTTATCATTTTTCACAAGCCCATTTTTGCAGAGTTAATTGCTTTCCGTGACTTAATTTGAACATTAGTATGGATTACACCTAATCTGATTCGCTAGGTGACAAAGATTGGTTAATTCGGTGAGCGACAAAAACATACCTAACGAGGCTGTCTGTCTGGATTGGAAACTACTGTCTTGCTTTATTGGACTCTTAAAAACAGGCTGGGTATGTCGGAAGGAGGGCAGGCAGCAGAGACAGGCGGGAGCCAAGCAGAGACCCACTTGGCCCTGGTAGCATTTCTATTCAGAAGGCCTGACATTTCACTAACTCCAAGTATTCCTTTGTTCATCTACCCTGTAAATAGAGATTCTGCATGTTTCTTTCATCATTTTGGAAAGAGGGAAGAAGACATTCCTAACAAATGCTTGATAAAGGGAGGGTGAGATGTCCATTCCCTGGTTTCCAGGCCCAGCCTGTGCTGAAAGCCACCCCTGGGTCTTCAGGAGAAGGGGCAGCTTCCATGCTGCTTGCTGATAGCAGAAATGAGAGGGTGCAGACACCTCTCCTTTGCAAATGCCAGCTGCTCGTTTCCAGAACTCTTTGCTGGGAACATGCCAGCTCTCTGGTGGGCTCCCTGTGCCAGCTAAGCACGTCTGTGGCCCACCTGCCAGCCCTGGGGGTGGCTGCTGCCACTCTGTGCCCATTTTACGGACGGGGTCTGCAGAGCTCCTTGCTCTGTGGTGCTTGTGCAGGGTGTCAGACGGCCACATGCGTGTGTGTGTGTGTGTGTGTGCGCGCACGCGCACGTGTCTGTCCTGTGTGTGTTGTGTTTGTCTGCAGTCCTACTTATGTCCCTTGATCAGATATGCTAAAACCATCGTGCTAAATTATACTAGACATGATTTAGATGGTGATGAGATGCACATAGTACTATACATAGATGTATGGCACAGGGACTGTCCAAAGATATATTTTTCTGGTACCAACTGAGCAAATAAAATTTGCATTTCATTTTTTGGGTTCTTGCTTTCTTCCTGCACTTTGTTCTAGTTCGCAAAGCCTGACTTGAAACAGAAAAACCTTTTCCTCTATGCAGGACACCCTTTGGAGGCTGCATCCTCAGAGCGGGAGGAATTCTTAGTGACCTGTCCCCTCTGCACACACAATCACAGCCACAAACCACCTGGGCGGCCGGTTGGAGGAGGCAAGGGGCAGCACCAGGCAGAACCTGTGTACTCTGAGGTGTAGCATTTGCTTTGCAAAGGATATCAATCATGTTTTTAAAAGCGAAGGGACATTTTCAATTTGCCAGTGTGTGATATCCTGCGACTTCAAAAATGTTCCCAGCCCTTGGAGTGAGTGGCATTTAATACCAACAACATAACAGGGGTGAGGGCTGGCTGTGACCTATTCAAATGTCGCTGCCACTACGCAGCCTTGCCCAACGCAATTATAATTAAATACTTTATGCCTCTCTTGCAAATCTGCAGATTGATCATCGATATGTACATTCCCACCACATTACCCGGGAGCAGATGTCTGCCACTCTCGCGTCATGGATCACCAGGTTTCCATTAACAAAGTTGGGAGGCGCTGCGGAGCGGGGTTCAGGGGAAATGTGTGCAAATTACCATAGTCCCGACCAAAGTTCCTGGGCTGGGCAGCACTAGGCTGCGCACTCATTTTCCCGAGCCACCAGGAGATTTTAGGGCGTCCCTTCTCACTGCAGCTGGGCCGAGGCTCCTCCACCAATGCCACAGGGTTACGGAAGAGCCCCTGAAAGTTCCCACCGCCCAGCCTTCCCATGGGTGGAGGGAGATGGCCAGGTCCCCGGTGCAAGGTGCTCTTTGATGTTTCTGACCGGTGGGCTCCGGCACCACCACGTCTCTCCAGAGAGGCCTCCTTAGCTGACTGTGGGTGGTTGGACACCTCCCTCAGTGCCAGGCTGGAATGGATTCCTGTACCTTGCTGCTCCCTGGGTCTGGACTCCTTCTTGGGGCCTGTTGCTCATTCATTAAGCAAATACTCACGAGCCATACTGGGGCAACTGTGGACCCCAGAGCATGGGGTGCCATCCAGAAGCATGATGGGAAGTGAACAAATTGTTGTTATAGGCACGTGGAGCTGACAAAGGGGTCCATAGGGCACTGAGATCAGCCACGAGGTGGGCACAGGGTTCTCAGGAGGCCACTGCAGGGTAAAGCCTTAAAGAAAGCCCATCCCGGTGGTGGGCAGGAGCCTGGGGCTTGCAGAATGGACCAGACAGCCAGTGTGGCTGCAGGGAAGCACAGCAAGGAGCCATGTGTGAGAAGCCCCCAAGTCCAGGTCAGACTGACCACTTCTGTGGGCTGCAGCTCCCATGTCTGGGCCAGGGTGCTACTGTTTGTCTGCTGTGCCAAGCTGCTGTGGAGTCCAGCAGGAGAGTCCAACTTCCAGCACGGGGCCTTGGCTCCTAAGGGCTCTACGTGGCCGGGTCACTTCAGCATATGCACCACAGTTCTGCTCTTGTCCCAAGCCTTTCTTCCTGACCTGCCCCATCCTGATGCAGAGCTCCAGACTCAGATGCACCTGAGGGCCAACCAAGCCTCGAGTCTACCCACCCAGAGCCGCTCCCCCAAAGTGACCTGTAGTGGCCCTAGACTCCTGGGGAAGAGGCGCTCTGCCTGGAAGCCCTGCAGCTGTGTCCTCAGAGGGGCCACCTGCCACTGCCTCCTGGGGCCCTTCCCTGCAGGACAGGGTGTGTCCCCACCATAAGGAGCTGCCCCTGGGACTCAGAGGAGGTAGCGTATGGACTCGCTCCTGGGAGGTGAGGCCCTCTGAAATTCCCAGATACCCCCTTCCCTGCAGCAGCCTGGGACTGCCTGTCTCTTCCAGGGACTCCACCCTCTGTCCTCTGGTGTGGCCACCTCCCACCCAACAGACAGGCCAGGGGACAGAACCACCTTAAGGAAGCCAGGGCAGCCAGGGTGTTTTCCACTTGATTTGACCTATTTGGGGGGTTCTTGGTGGTCCACTTGGCTCCTACTCTGGGGGCTGGGTAGCCCTCCCCCCTGCTTTGGTTTTCCCTGAGAGCCAAGCTGTTTCCCATCTTCTGGGCTATCCAGCTGCAGGGAAGATGGAGGGGAGCATCAGCCTGTGTCTGCTCCCCCTGTCATGTGAACCTCCCACCTGCCTTTGCCTGCCCCTGCCTACCTCCTTCCCTTGCTGCAGGCTTCAACTTGGTAGGTGTTTCCCAATCTCCCTTCCTGGCTGAGGACAGATGTCTGAGCTCCTAGTGATGCTCAGATCTCCGAAGTCCAATCTTGCCAGCCTGGAACTCCAGCATCAGTCTGAGCCAATCTGAAGGTGTGTCCCTGGGCAGCTGACTTGTGTCTCCTCGTAGGTGGGGAGGGAGGCTCAGGGGCTGAGGAACAGTCTGCTCTCACTTCATGGTCTCCAGGGACAGAGCTGCCCAAGAACCTCATCCAGGAGGGACCCCCCACAGTGAGAGAAAGCATCCACCTCAGCCAGGGAGAGACCAAGCCTCCCCGTCAGTGGAGGAAATGGGGTACATGGGAGCCTTCCTGACATGGATGCACAATTTTATCATGGCAGCAGACCCTGAGTTATCATAGTGTCCAAGCACCGGGGGCCCCCCAGAGTGATATCAAGGGTCCCATCTGACCACCCGAAACAGCAGGGAAGAAGGTCAAACTCTGTGGTCAGACCCCAGAGGGACTCACTGTAGGACCACCCACCCAGGCAGCTGGCTCAGGAACACAGCAAGAGCAGCAGGCCACCGGACACCATCCGTGTAAGAGCAACCCCACACATGGGTGGCTCCACTCAGCCCTGCCCTGTGTGCAGAGCAGGAGTGGACTCACCCTGAAGTCCAGGAGGAGGAAGCCACTCTAGGGAACCTCACTGTTCCTATACCCAGCCAGGTCGCCTCAGGGGCCACCAAGACGCTGCCCCCCCAGAGCAACTGGACCAGGTGTTTACCGAGTGCCTTTTGCATGCCCAGCCCTGTTCTGAGCATTGCCATCTGCAAGGGTCCTAGGTGTCGGTGACAGGGTACCCTGAGATTTACGAGGGAGGCGGAAGAGGCTGCACACCCGGGGAGTTGTCTGAACGCTGGTTCGGCCCCACCTGTCCGACAGGATAGGCCCCCACCCACACCCGGGGACTCGAAGTGACAGCAGCCAGTCCTTTGGGGTTGGGAGACAGCACAAAGGTCCTCACAGCAGGCCTTCCCCTCCAGGTCCCCACTCTGCCCTCACTGTGTGCAGGAGGCCCCGTGGTCAGGGCCGAGAGCACGGCTCCAGGCAGGCTGCTGGGGCTGTTCCTCCCCTTGTGTTGTTCTCCTCTCGGGGGCCACCCACGGAGGAGACACAAGGGAATCTCAGCCTGAGCCACGGTTCTTAGTACAGCTCTCTGCCCACCCTGGCCCTCCATCTGTCCCAGGATCCCTGCAAGCTGGCCAGGCAGACTCCACAGCTCCCTTCATGGCAAGGAGCAGTGCTCCAGTCCCAGTGCCTTCCCCGCCAGGTGTCTAGATGCCCATTCTAGGTGCAGCACAAATCCCCTCGCCAGGGGAACACAGGTGCCATCCACTAGCTATGGCCACTGTGGGGAGGGCAAATCAGGGGTTGAATGTCCAACCACATGCAGCCCAACGCCCTCCCCAGAGCCACAGTGCAGCTGCCATGTTCACTGCGGAGGGACACATTCGGGGGAGGGGTTGCCAGCGTCCTCCTCCTACCCACAGGTCAGCCTGGCATGTGACTTTTACAGGAATCACCTCAGAAGTACGTGGGCCCATGACCTGTCATGTGCTTTTCTATCCAGACAAAATAACAATCCATAAACACGTGCAAAATTACGCATTTTCATCTCATGCATAACACCGTGCATCTCCCGTGCCGGCATGCCTACCATTCTGGTGAGCCAGTCCCCAGGACCCTCACAGAGCCATCGGTCCATGCCGCAGCAACACAATTAACAGTCCTCACATGCATCTGTACAATTACATTCCCACCAGCTTTAGGCGACTGCAGACCCAGATCCCAAATAAGATGCGAGTTCACTCAACTGAAACTTTCGGTATTAGATTTATAATAACAGAGAGAGGTCGCACGGCTATGCCATTTTTTAAAGGAAAAGGAAATTGAGAGGGAACATTCAAACTTTAGTCAACTTGGCCCTGCACTCTATGTGGAGCCCCAGTGACGGAAACACTCAGGAGCGTTTACTGATGGGTACGGGGGACACACCTGACTGCCCAGCCCCTCGGGCACTCGCCCTGTCCTGGGCACTGTCATCCATCAGGTGTTCCCTCATTGCCCACCAGGCCAACCCGCCACCTTTTAGCACCCTGCTCCCAAGCCATGTCTTTCCTTCCAACCGGGGACTCACCCCACTTGCTCATTCTGGCCCTCTAAATCCTGCCAGCTCTGAAGGTCGACAGTGAAGAATTTGGAAAGCACATCAGATGGTGGCCCTGAGCTGGGTAAGAGGAGAGGATTGCTACAGCTCTCTTATGGCATTGAGCTCCGGAGAGAGGGGGACAGCGGACTCACCTAGGCAATTTGTGCTCAGTATCTCTCCGCACTCCTCCGAACAGCCCACGGCAGGCCTGCACCACAGCTGTGAACAACTGTGTGTCCCGGGCCTTGAATGGTGGCGAAGTGTGAAGGGAGGGAACCCTGCCCAGGGCTGGGCCCAAGAGGGCGACAGACCTTCCTACAGACCACAGATGCAAGGTTTCCCATACTAGGCCTGGATGACTGTGGCCTGAAGGCAAAGGGGCTTCTTTGCTCCCAGGCAGGACCTGGGATGGACAGGAGGGCTCAGTTTTGGGAAATCCAACCTCTGACTGCCACCTGGACTTGGAGCCAGAGGAAGTGGCACTGGAAAAAGGCTAGCACTGGCATGGAGTCCAGGCAGAGGATCCTGCTGGGTGGGAATTGGAGAAAGTGTGGTCAGCATCCCAT